GACGTTCGTCTTCAGAGTCACGCCCTTCAGTCCGTCGACGTAATCGCAAACGCTCTCGGCGGACACTTCGCACGCTTCCATCCATGTTCGGAAGGCGGTCTCGTGTCTCGTCGTCGACGCGTCCCTCACCACCGATGTCGGATCGACCACCAAACGGAAGAACGAGGCCATCGCGGCCCGTCTCTGATCGCGCCTGTCCGGATTGGCCAACATCGACTCCAGCAGATTTCGGGACCACCTTTCCAGATCCCTGTGGTCGAACGTCTCTCGTTCCTCGTACGCAAGCTGCCGTCTGCGCTTTCCGAACGAGACGAGCTTTGCGACGTGTGCTATGCAACCGAGACTAACGGTCTTTGGAAGGGAGGCGTATCGGACGCACGCTTCTACGTACCTTATCTCCTTTTCGATCTCCACCCTCAGCTTGTCGGCGGCCGATCTCGCACGCCTGTCGACGCGCCTCGCGATCTCGAACTCGTCCTTCTTGGCGACTTCCGGTCTCGTCGACTGGCGAGAGCCGAGACGCGGGAATACTGGAGGCGCACCGCGGCAGATATCTTCCTCGTCTTCCGTACCTTCGTTCGTGACGAGATGGTGGCACTCCTCGTCCGTCTGCTCCTTCCTGCATACGAAACACCGGTATCCGACGTTCGGACAACAACCGATGGGCAACGCCGGTACGGTGCCCACGACGACCACGAACCTCCAGAGTGCCGACAGGCGCCTCGATATCACCGTCGAATGCTCGCTCGTCAAAGGGAACAGCACGTGTCGCGCGAGCACGGCGTCGAAGTCGGTCATGGTGCAGCACTCCGTCGTGACCGAATCCGTCCCTCGCAGAAGGTGCTCCGCTAGAACTAAGCATCTTGCGTAGAAGCTTCCAACCGTCGTTGCAGATCCACAGACAACTCCTCCAACGAATCGTCTTCGTCGTGGTCGTCGTCCTCCTCCTCCTGCTCACCATCCTCGAATAATTCTAGACGGCGGTCGGCGTCGATCGCCCTCCTGTCTCGCGCCCACCTCGACCATCTCCATCGCACGCGCACTTCGAGATTCCTCCACATTTCGAAAGACATTCAGAAAACGGAAGTGACGAGTTCGCGTCGCTCTCGCTCTCGCTTCGCAGTTAGGTACGATATCGGCAAGCAGGATGCTTATGAGAAGCAGGAAGTTGTCGGAACTGGTGGCCGGGTCGTCAATATCGTCGAACATCTTCCACTATCACCGCGCCGGGATCGTGTCCGAGATTGCGATCCAGTATCCTCTCGGCCAACTGGACGAGCCTATCTGTGTCCGTCCACTTTATGCTTTCGGCGTCGTCGTCGAAAAGCACGTAGCGCGCGTCTCCCCTTCCGGCGAACCCGGCGTGGTCGTTGCTCGAAAGGAAGCAGATGGGAACCGTGCACTCGCTCGGTTTCAGCAGCGTCACGCCGGGAATCTTTCCCATGAACGCTATCAACCTCGCGAGAGATCTGGTGGCCGGCGTGGGCGGATCAGCGTAAACTACGGTCGACGCGAAGGCCGTCGAACCGTACCTGTCGGACAACCTCTTCGCCGCCTCCTGTACTTCGTCCTCGGACTCGACGAACCGTCTTGCTTTGTTCAGAAGCTGATGAAACGAACATTCGTCCTCTCCGATCAACCCTCCGTAGGCGGTGGAGCTCGGTCGGTAGTCCACGACGAACGGGATGGGACGGGGGTTTTCGTTCTCTTCGGAGTTGCCGACGAGGACGTCTTCGCTAACGTCGTCGTCCACTTCCTCTTCGGATTCGCACGCAGAACTTCCGGAACATGCGTCTTCGACGACGTTGTAGCTGGGACCGACGTTACGGCGACCGGGAGGTTCCCGACGTTGTCGTTGAGACCCTTCGCGTCTGCAATCGTTCAGTAATCTGCGCAATTTGCTTACCTCGACACTTCGGCCGTAATTTACTGTTTCTATTTCGTTCGTCAGATAGGATATCTGTCGCATTAATTCTTTGTTCATTTGCGCACAATCGGCCGCCTTCATCTTTGTCTCTTATACACATCGCCTTCATCTTTTCCTTTTCCAACGAACGTTCAACTTCATCGAGGCGTCGTGTGAGAAGTTCTCGACATTCCTCGTGCGATCGTCCGTCTTCCGAGTTCTCGACGATTCGAGTCACTTCTGAATACGCGTCCGCCACTTTGTTATTGGCAATTGTCTTTTGATCTCGTCCACCTCCATCTTCGTTTTCGTCAAATATGATCTCAATTCGTCCGCTTCCTTGTTCTTCGAAAACACCGATTCTCGAGGTGGACAACCTTTTTCATCGATTCGTAGTACAAATTCGACAGATCTTTTTCCGATTCCGATAGCCTCTTTTCCATTTCGGTGTTCTCTTTCACCAGTCTATCGCGCGCGTCGATGACCGTTTTGAGTTCTTTACTTAGTTCCGAAATCATTCTTTCGTTGGATTCACCCGACTTCTCCCTCTTTTCGTCGCTCAGAAGTCGTTCGAGTTGTCGGATCTCCTGTCGATGTCTTTCCAGCTCCCGCTTCAACGAATCCGTTTCTTTCGAATCCGTTACATTCTTGTCCACGTTCGAAAGTTGGGACTCAAGATTTGCGCGTTCTCTCTCGGACGTATTCAGCAGGTCGCGAAGCTTGTCGAGATCTGCCGAACGTCGTTCTGCCGTCGCTTGCCACGACCTCCTCTCGGCTTGCCACCTATCAAGGTCCTCCTTCGACCGACGTTCGGAATCGGTCGCGAGCTTCAGTTTCTCCGAGAGGGACGCGCACTCGTCAAAAGCCTCTTCCGCTTCGGCCGATCGTGAAATCTTATCGGATTCCAGTTTAGCTATCCGATCGAGATGCTTCTCTTCCCGTTCCTTTAGGGACGCATGAAACTTACCTGCGTCTCTTCTCAGTTTCGATTCCTTTTCTGTAAGGAAAGATATCTGCGTTCGAAGATTTTCGATTTCGTCCGAGTGGATCGCCTTCGCCGTTGCAAGTTTCGTTTCAGCGTCCGATTTCTCCCTCCCGAGATCGTCTCGAAGCGATCTGAGTTCCTTGGCGTGGGATTCGTGAGTTTCGTCGCGTGCCTTCTTCAATTCGACCCATTGCTTCCACTGAGGAATTTCATTCTCGATTTTTTCGTGGTTCGCCTTCACCCTGATCTCGGCTTCCTTGGCGGCCGCCAGATCGCGGGACGTACGTCGCAGTTCGTCGCGTGCTCGTCTGCCTTTTTCGCGGCCGCCTCCACAATCCGTCTGCTTTTCACTTCCTCGTCGTATCGCTTGCAAGCCGTTTTCAGGTTTTCTTCCAAGACGTCCACCCGCTTTTCGTACATGGACATCGCGGTCTTGGCGAGCGTCGACTCTTTCTTCAGCACGCTGATTTTGTCGTCTTTCTCTTCCAACTCCTCTTCCATGTCGGCGTGCGATCTCTCTCGGTCTTTCAGTTTTCGGACGGCTTCCGGCAGCTTTTGCTGCAGCTCGCCGTCGCTCTCTTCCTGTGGCGGCTGCTTCGACTTTCTCCTCGCGGCTTTCAGATCCGATTCCAAGCGAACCACGTCCAGATCCCTTTCCTTCAGGGTATCCGTCTTGGAAGCGAGTTCGGTCTTGAGACATTCGACCTCTTCCTCCGCGATGCTGCGAACGTCGGACGATTCTCTCAACGCGGACATCTTCGCCTCGTGTATTTCGTCTTTTAATTTCAGTATGACGACTCTGGCTTCGGTCAGTTTTCGTTCCTTTTCCGCAAGTTTGTCCTGCACATCGTTCAGCTTCTGGTTGCCCAGTTCCAACGTACGTTCGTTCTCCTTTGCCGATTCTCGACGGTGCTCATCAAGATCTTCCAGCGCGACGGACTTGGGAGTCGCCGGCGTCGAAGACGACGTGGATCCCGCGTGCGTCTCCGGTTGGTCTGGGACTCGTCGACCGTCTTGAGACTAGAGAAGTCTTCGTCGTCGGTATCCTTCTTCAACATCAATTTTCGGGTCGAGTCGTTGTCGCGGGAACTCGTGAACAGCTTTCGACAGAACTCCTTCGCCGTCAACCTCGTGTCCGGATAGTATTTGCCGAATTGCATGTACGGCTTGGTATCGCCGATGTAAGGAGAGGGCGACTCGATGCCGGGCACGGCTATCATCTTCTTGAGATCGCGCGCGTACGCGATCTTGTTTTGTATCAGCTTGCCTTCCTTGAAGGTGAAGAGCTTTCTATCTTTCTTCGAGTTCAGAAATATACCGCCGAGGAACAGACAGTCGCACATGGTTCTCACGCTCTCTTTCATCTCGCTGTACTCGTTCGTCTCGAGAATCTTCGCCAGCAGGGAGAGCAGACTGCACAGGCATTCGAACAAACCTTTGAGATCGCACGCACCGTCCGAGTTCCCTTGGTCGGTCTAAATGTCACCGCACACGGTTCCGGAGACGAAGGCGTCGACGAATCGACGTTCGAATCCGTTTACGCGCACCAGCTGAGGGGACAGACCCATCATCGAACCCGACGGTGCGTATCCGGATCTGTACGCCGTGGAAACCATGCACATCAACCCCGTCGGAGTGAGTTCGGGGTCGGCCAGCTGCGCGTGAACGCGCCTCTCGTAATTGTCGTCCATGGGAGATTGCTTGGCGTTCGCCTTTTCCGTCGGCGCCTTCCTCTTCTTCTCTCGGGATTTCGCCGATCGTTCGTCGGCTGTCGAGGTAGAAGTGCCGGCGTGACCGGGAACTCTAGTTGCCATTACAGTTTGTTTTTAATTTTTGTTAACAACACCGACGATTTTGCGGCTCGTCCTTGTCATTAATGACAACCTGCGTTCGGCCGGGCAACCCAAGATGTCTTGGCGCTCGTCGGCTAGCAAACGCATCCGCCTCACCTCTTGGTACGTGGAACCGGAAACGGTTAGAAGATCGTCCAAAAAAAGGGAACCTGAATCGGTTGTTCCGGCGCCACATGGAATAGCGCAGGACGAGGTCGTCGTCGCCGCCTCCGAAGCAGCTGCTGCAGCAGCACCTTCGCGCATGCACACGAATGACAATTTGACGAAAAGAAAGAAACAGAGACGAAAAGTTAAAGTTTTTAACGATTTAATTGTTTCATCCGAAACCTGCACACCTTCTCGCCCATCATCCGTTGCAGCAGACTCGAACATTCCGTCAGACGGGACGTGCTCACCTCGAATATCCAAGGCAGCAGCCGGTCTCCGGGAAGTGGTCTCAGTTGATGGAACCT